GCGCTATGCCCACGACGACACTCAACTCATTACAAGAACATCAATTAACTACTCATGCTATGCAGACGACGACACTCAACTTATTATTACAAGTGTAGGCTACTAGAGTTTAACCCTTGTAAATGTAACGTAATATAGCTATTTAAAGGGAGGAAATGGGAGACGAAGTCTTCCATAAACTGGCACAGAGAATGTTCTATGAGTTGATATCACACCGAACCTGTCTTCTGAATGCTCACTTAAAAGGATGTCATCAACGGCGTATGCAAGGCTATCTTATCTTGAGGTTATCTTGAGATGATTTCGGGGCTTTAGTGTCACCGCGGCCCGGTCCTCGACCAGGCCTCCACCCCCAGGAAGCAGCCCGTGACAGCTGACTAACATCAGAACTATCTTTAGAAATTTGTGTAAGAAATCCTTTAGAACGTTCACACATATGTCAGACCAACTATGGTACATGCGGCTCCGGCATGGAGTCCATACATTGTCAAAAATAAACGGAAGGTTCAAAGGTATGGCACTAGACTAGTTCAAAACTAAGAGGCGTGAGTTATGAGGAAAGGCTGCGTAAATTGCACTTCACAGCGCTTGGACGACAGAAGAGTTTGGGAAGACATAATTACGACATACAAAATTGACAATAGAATTGCCAAGGGTAGATAAAGACAGATTATCTAACACGGGTGGTACTCGCACAAGTGGACACGGGGGGAGACTGAGTGACCAAATGAGCCACAGAGACATTATAAAGAATTTGTCAGTGTCAGAGTAGTTAATAACTGGAATGCATTAGGCAGTGATGGGGTGGAGACAGACTCCATACACAGTTTCAAATATAGATATGATAGCGTTCAATAAACTCAGGAACCTGTACACCATTTTATTGACAGTTAAGAGGCGGGACCAAACAGCCGAAGCTCAACCCTTGCAAACACAAGTAGTTGAGTACAGGATATTACCCAAACACACGCAAAGATTCCCCCATACAAGCCCTCACATGTCTACTCCTCACATATATATATTCCCTCACTGCACTCTCCCTAGCAGCAAAAACAAACTAAAGTATAGTTAATACAAGACAAAGCACTGAGACGGGCTTTTACCGCCCATTAGCAAGGCGTCGCCAGTGGTGGGAGCCTCAGCCAGAGTGTGTACACACACACCAGCCCTAAATGAACGTTGGAAAGTGCCAGCTGACAAACATATCTATAGACTGTCAACAAACTATGAATACGTCATCACTTTTCTTCAACGATTCGGTCAAAAGATCCAGAATCATGCACAAACCTATTAGAGTAAATATACAAAATCCTCCTTTGTTTCTCATATCCAGCACATACAATCCATATTATACAATGCAACATAAACAATCTAGCACATACAGTCCATCACAAACTATCTAAAACTTTCCATTTTAGAAACAAATACCACCATGAAGAAAATAGTATCACTATCGATAAAACTATCACCATAGGACCACATCAAGAACCTCGTGCGAGGAGCCTATGCTACAGTTTCTAACTTCAGAATTGTTTTTAAATACATGGATGGTGAAATAATAAAGAAATTGTTTACGACTTTTGTTAGACCAAAGCTGAAATATGCAGCGGTTGTATGGTGCCCATATCTTAAGAAACACATCAACAAAATTGGAGATGGTGCAAAGACATGTCACTAAATGACTCCCAGAACTGAAGGACAAAAGCTACGAGGAGAGGTTAGAGGCTTTAAAAATGCCAAAACTAGAAGATAGTAGAAAAAGAGGCTATATGATCACTACCTACAAAATAGTAACGGAAATCGATAAAATTGATAGGGAAGAATTCCTGAGACCTGGAACTTCAATAAGAACAAGAGGTCATAGTTTTAAACTAACTAAACAAAATTGCCGAAAGAATATATTGCAAATTCATTTTCGCAAACAGAGTGGTAGACGGTTAGAACAAGTTAGGTGAGAAGGTGGTGGAGTCCAAAACCGTCAGTAGTTTCAAGAGCGTTATATGACAAAGAGTGCTGGGAAGACGGGACACCACGAGCGTAGGTTCAGTACAAACAGTACGTTTCTTGGCGGCATCTAAATCTAATTACAGCCATCTTTTATAACGTCTGTCACGTCCTCAGCTGTCACATACCACCATTACCGCCCCGCACGTTTAGTCACGTCACACTCCAACACCACTCGGCCCCAAGATCCACCATCAAGGTAATCAACACGCTGCCGCTCGGGGCAAGTGTTAAAGCATAAGTCTAATAACCATCAAAGCTGTGTGTGTGTATGTGTGTGTGTGTGTGTGTGTGTGTGTGTGTGTGTGTGTGTGTGTGTGTGTGTGTGTGTGTGTGTGTGTGTGTGTGTGTGTGTGTGTGTGTCTTGACTGTGTGGCGCCTCGGGTGTGCCAGTATCTGGGTGTAGTTGTCTGAGGTTATCTCCGTTATCTGACCTTATCTATGGCGGCGCCTTTCATGTGCTCCTCGAGGATGATGTAGATGCTTAATGTTACTTGTTGAGCAGCACCTTCATAGCCCAAAGAAAGAGACATTTAAGCATTGTACGGATTGGTGTCACCCTCAAGTCACCACACATATACATCAATAATAGTTACCGGTCCTATTGTATGCCAACAGAAAATGGGTTTCTTCAGAAAATAGGCATTAGCAGTAATAGCAAACGACAGACGTATTATTAGTAGTTGTAATAGGAGTTTGTTGGGTTCATAAACGGGCAGCACCTTTGGCATGGGACACCTCTGGTCCCCGACCAGAGGTGCTACCCCTCACATATTTTAATTTCCTATTGTTGCATGTTTGAGGCCTTCGTTAAATCCCTCTGGAGAGAAAAAGTCCACTGCGGGCTCACCATAGCCCGTGCTACTTGGAACATTTTGTTCTTAAACAATACTTGGTTACGGAGCGCCGTCAGTGACGGAGAGCGGAGTACACACCACGCAACCACACTGGTGAGTTAATACTCCAATTTTATCCCCTAAACATGGGGAGCTGGCAGCGGTCCCAGTCGCTCCTCTGTCTGTCTCTGTCTCTCTCTGTCTCTGTCTCTGTCTGTCTGTCTGTCTGTCTGTCTGTCTGTCTGTCTGTCTGTCTGTCTGTCTGTCTGTCTGTCTGTCTGTCTGTCTGACTGTCTGTCTGTCTGACTGTCTCTCTCTCTCTCTCTCTCTCTCTCTCTCTCTCTCTCTCTCTCTCTCTCTCTCTCTCTCTCTCTCTCTCTCTCTCTCTCTCTCTCTCTCTCTCTCTCTCTCTCTCTCTCTCTCTCTCTCTCTCTCTCTCTCTCTCTCTCTCTCTCTCTCTCTCTCTCGTCATCCCCGATCCCCCCGCACTCCCCCCTCCCCCCCACCCCCCTCTTCCTACTACACCTACTCGTCCGTTACTTAACAGGTTGACGCTATACGCGTATAGCGGAGTCCAGTAAAGGTATAGGACATAAGAGGAGAGATTACGGCCTGGCTATCAAGAAAGCGGCCCCGTCCCCATATTGTGCGCGGGGTCACAATATGGGTTAGTGCCATAGTGTGACCCCCGCTCAATGGCAACCTCCAATTAGGCTTCATTTAATATGCAGCTAAAATTGGCATTTAACAAAAAAAATTATCACTGGTTTCTAATTTGAAAACGTTTTTCAATTTGAGCGGAAACTATTGAAAAATTAACTTATCATGTGATACGTTTAGAGACCATTCATGTAATGTTTTTGTCATGGAACAGATTTAGAGATGATAGATGTAATGTTGATGTCACTGAATAAATTTGGAGATGACGGATGTAGCTGATGTAGATGTAGATTTGGATGTAGACGGATGTGTACGGATGGAGATGTCAGTGTAGCTCCCCACGGGGCAAGGTAGCTCCCCACGGGGCAAGGTAGCTCCCCACGGGGCAAGGTAGCTCCCCACGGGGCAAGGTAGCTCCCCACGGGGCAAGGTAGCTCCCCACGGGGCAAGGTAGCTCCCCACGGGGCAAGGTAGCTCCCCACGGGGCAAGGTAGCTCCCCACGGGGCAAGGTAGCTCCCCACGGGGCAAGGTAGCTCCCCACGGGGCAAGGTAGCTCCCCACGGGGCAAGGCAGCTCCCCACGGGGCAAGGTAGCTCCCCACGGGGCAAGGTAGCTCCCCACGGGGCAAGGTAGCTCCCCACGGGGCAAGGTAGCTCCCCACGGGGTAAGGTAGCTCCCCACGGGGCAAGGTAGCTCCCCACGGGGCAAGGTAGCTCCCCACGGGGCAAGGTAGCTCCCCACGGGGTAAGGTAGCTCCCCACGGGGCAAGGTAGCTCCCCACGGGGCAAGGTAGCTCCCCACGGGGCACGGTAGCTCCCCACGGGGCAAGGTAGCTCCCCACGGGGCAAGGTAGCTCCCCACGGGGCAAGGTAGCTCCCCACGGGGCAAGGTAGCTCCCCACGGGGCAAGGTAGCTCCCCACGGGGTAAGGTAGCTCCCCACGGGGCAAGGTAGCTCCCCACGGGGCAAGGTAGCTCCCCACGGGGCAAGGTAGCTCCCCACGGGGCAAGGTAGCTCCCCACGGGGCAAGGTAGCTCCCCACGGGGCAAGGTAGCTCCCCACGGGGCAAGGTAGCTCCCCACGGGGCAAGGTAGCTCCCCACGGGGCAAGGTAGCTCCCCACGGGGCAAGGTAGCTCCCCAGGAGTCAGTGTGGCTGGCCGCGGGTCATTCATGGGGAGGAGGGAGGGCGGGGGACTACCTTCCTACGCTAGTCATACTTGCCAATATAACCAGTAAGGTGTCTTGATGCCTCAAGATGTGCCAAAGCAACGCCTCACAGTAATTTGGCAGGTGGCACTGGGCCATTCCTCTCTTGCCTCCTTGTTTGCCATATCATTTATTCCCATCATTCTCCCGCGCACTCTTCCTCATAAAATTCCAAATGCGTGCCCCTTCCTCACCTCAAGAAGTTGAAGAGGAAGTTTTTTGCCTGATTTGGCACAGGTAGCAGAGAGGGCAGTATGGCAGTGAGTGTGGCCAGGCACTGCGCCACTGTTGATCTCCGCGCGTGCGGATTGTCCTTCTCTTTCGTTTCCTGGTGAGATGGTTAGCCCCTCCGGAGGCGCTGTGTGGGCTCAAGCCGTTACCTTGTGGTGAGTGTTGGGTGGCGAGTGATCCACGAGGCTGTGAGAGCCGCCTGGGGGTGTATACTGGTGTGTCATGGTGGAGGTGTGAGCGGGTTGCTGGGTGTGGTGAGCGATCACTGGTGCCAGCTCATAGGTGGTGGCGGTCGCCACCCATCCCATGCCAGGGGATGCCAGACTTTTGTTGATCATAACCCGAGGTTGGTGCCAGTGTGCCTCTACCTCCTCTACCTGCACCACTAACCCACGTCATGGTGTGGCTCTCTCATTGTGGGGTTAATGAGTGTTTTGTGGGCGGCGGACCACGGTTTCGTTTGTGGAAGGGGGAGGGCGGGGAGCTAGGTGCCCCCCATACCCCTGGGGCTCCTGCTTACCCACACCACAATGAGTTCCCTTTTCACGCCCGCAGCAAGCGCCTTCCCCGCCCCACACCAGTCCCTTTCCACGCCCACACACTCCGTCTCCACGCCCACACACTCCGTCTCCACGCCCACACACTCCGTCTCCACGCCCACACACTCCGTCTCCACGCCCACACAAACCCCTATTCACGCCCACAAACTCCGTTTCCACGCCCACAACAAACTTGCAGCTAGAAATTATTACGTACCGTTAAAATATTTTGCAAAGTGTGAATTAAGTGACAGTGATTTGCTATTAACGTGACAAGCACTATGGCCGCAGCCTTCGCTCAGTGCTTGTGCAACAAAGAAACTGGTTTTGTTGCAACGTGCAACGCCACAGAGGCAGTAAACGTATATAGATCACTTAGTATTGAAAGTTATGAGACTGAAATTCGAAGTTAAAGTGTATTAAGGTCACCAAGAAGACTGTAAGTGTGTGTGAACATAACATGGCGCTGTGACAGTGTAAACCAGTCTCCACTTTCCATAAGTTAAAGTCGACAGAAATGTGTAAATGGTATTGACGAGGCCACAGTGAGTGATCTACACACACAGTGATGATAAATAGAGGAAGATTTTTGTATGTGTTATGTTAATGTTAGCAAACATTCACGACTTTCAGCGAAGTTTGGCTGTGTGAGTTGATTGTCAGGAGTTTACAGAGTCCTTGCCCTAAACGCTGTGCGTATTAGTGACTTTAGGCCTTGTATGTACTAACTCCATCTAGAAATCCAACATTATGTTTGTAACTCATCGTGTGTGTACGTACGGTTTCCTGAATAAACATTTGATTTGATGCGCAGGAATGGCTACGAAACGGGACGGGGGGAAAGGAATGGTGCCCTTCCTTATTACAGCTGGTTGTAATAAGTGTACCGCCGGTAAATTAATCGATTAGGCATACACCCCTAATTTAGATGTCGTGAAAATAAGGATTTTGAAATCAGTTTTGAAAAGTTTGCATAACACTGTCGTAAGCGCGAAGAAAACGAGCAGTGGTTGTGTTTCAAGTGAGGCCGATCCATGGGCATACAGTCAAATCCTTCACTGGTGCTTCGCACCTCGTTTTTCCATTGTTAAAAATTATATATCATTGCCTTTGGTTGGGTTGAGTTAAGTTCGGTTAGGTTACTTAGGATTTAATAAAATACAAAATACCTGTCACTGCAGCGTGACCCTGTACTGTGTTGCTGACTTCTGAGTTATGGTGTATTGTGTGTTGTGGCTTGTGGACCGAGATTCAGCTCCTGAGCCTCGCCTTTCCGACTGCCAGTCAAATAATACAATAACTCACGGCCACATTTGCTGTAAAACTGTATAACTTCAGCTTTACTTCACTGGTGGTTCGTTCTCACAGTGGATTAGAGTTTGCTCACATCTCTGTTGGTCATCTTCGAGTCCTGCTCCCAGGCAGGTTCTCTCATTACCTTCCTGCTCAACTTAAACGTTCTCTCATATTTATTTCATCGATATCCCTTGAATATTTTCTATATCTGGGTCAAGTCCCCTTCTATTTCTACTTTTTTTCTGTGTTATTAGGTTCATTTTAATGAACCTGATAACACTGAGTTTAATTATTTTAAAATATACTTATTGTAATTATTTAAATTATACTCTTTTGAATTATTTAAATTATACTGATTTTAATTATTTCAAGTCTACTGATTTTAATGATTTAAAGTCTACTGATTTTAACGATTTAAAGTCCACTGATTTTAATGATTTAACGTCTATTAATTTTAATGATTTAAAGTCTACTGACTTTATTGATTTAAAGTATACTTATTTTAATGATTTAAAGTATACTGATTTTAACGATTTAAAGTATACTGATTTTAATGACTTATACTGTACTAATTTTAATTATTTAAATTATACTGATTTTAATGAGTTAAAGTCTACTGATGTTATCATTAGATAACATAATGCAGCCAAATTCATAGTTGTTATTCAGATAACATAACGTAGTACAACAGTTGACATTTTGTTCAACAAGGTTGTTGAACAGAACATGTAGCCCAATGTGCCACGGAGTGAGGGCGAACTCTTCCTTGCCTGTGATAGCCTGATTTGCATCCTCCAAGATAAGAGAAGATAACGTGAGATAACGACAATATATTTACAGAGCCGGAGGGAGAACACAAGATACTGAAGACTGTTGTGTGAGGTAGGAATCGGTTCTCTCATCCCATAGATCGCGTTTCTTACGTTACAAATGCAGTGTGGAGAGTAGTAACCTCTTAATAATGTCTAAGGTTTTTATGTGCATCAGATTCTGTAGGCTAGGTGGGTTGCTTGGGTTTGTACGTGTCTGGTTGGGTTAGGTCTGGTTAGGTTAGGTTAGGTTAGGTTAGGTTAGGTTACGTTAGGTCAGGTTAGGTCAGGTTATGTTTGGTTAGGGTAGGTTAGACTAGGTTAGGTTAGATTAGGTTAGGTTAGGTTAGGTCAGGTCAGGTTATGTTTGGTTAGGGTTGGTTTGGTTAGGTAAGGTTAGGTTAGGTTAGGCTAGGTTAGGTTAGGTTAGACTAGAAACGAGCTGGTTGGTAAGGGTGTGGGGAAGGTGTTGTGGCGGCCAAGGAGGGAGGGGGGGGGGGGGAATAAGTCACCAGGAGTCGTGTAGATCGTCAGCTTTCTGGGCTGTTGTTCTGGCTCGTGGTCTTGTGTGCACGGTGACCCCAGGTCTTGTGCACGGTGCACACGAGGTCAAAAACTCCTTCTTGAAGACTTAACTGTCTCTGAAAAACTTATATGCCGGTTACAAATTAAGATTCCTTCATATATTATTCAATAAGATATTTTTCCAGTGTTGTTAGAGACTCTAATTGTTCATCTTGTGTAGCCCTCACCACCCGGTGACCAAGAGAGAAAGTGAACGATTTAGAAAGTGAGCAAGTGAGATAATCAAACTAGAAATTGCCCAAGTTGAAAAGTGACAAGTATCATGGTGACACCGTCGAAAAGTGACAAAGAATTGCGGTGACAAAGTTTAAAAGTGACAAAATTTGGAAAATGAGCAAAGTTGGAACATTTAAACCATTACTTGTTCGGTATTATGAGAGGAATGAAGTAAAACACCCGTGAGAAGAAGGGCGTCTTGGTGTTGGTGGTCAATCAAGACGTGTCATCTTGGTAATGTTATCATGTGTTATCGTTGAGAGATAGCCAGGGATCATTGTGGATATGAGTTGGGGGGGAGCTCAGTGCCACAGGTGCCTGGTTAGTGCTCCGCCCTCAGTGCCTTTCCTCAGTGCCTTAACCCTCAGTGTTTTCCGTAAGTGCTTTATGTGCCTTCGGAGAGTGCCTTCCGTGAGTGCCTTCGGTGAGTGCCTTCGGTGAGTGCCTTCGGTGAGTGCCTTCAGTGAGTGCCTTCAGTGAGTGCCTTCGGTGAGTGCCTTGCTCGAGGCCCTCGCCCGCAGCAGTCATGGTCGGTGAGGCTGCCACCATCCCTACCTCAAGACAGATGCTGGGGAGTTTGTTGGTAAAGAGATAGTGTCGTCCTCGCCGGCACGACCATCCGCTCTCCTGGTAGGTACGACGCGTCAGGTAATGCCCCGTGTCTGGTATGGATGGTCTTAGCTCAAGGAATAGCTGGACGTGTAAAGTGTCTTCCACACTTCTGTACACATTAACATTACATTCACCTGGGCTGCAGGAGACTCGAACCGTCGAAGACTGCTCAATAGTTCGGTCGATGGAGCTTCGGCGTCACACACATGGGGTCCACGTTCGAGTCTCTTAGTGCCCAGGTGAATGGAACTGTACATGTGTTTTTATTATGCATATTTATTTTTTATAAATGTATATATATTCGCTTATTTGTGCACCCCATCATAGGCATGGTGACCTGATTCTAAAGTGCTTAAAAGTTCATAAGTTTGTTCAAAATCTGTTTGTGTGTGGTGCTCACCTATTTGTACTCACCTACTTGTGCTTGCGGGGGTGAGAGAAGCGGGAGCTCTTTGGTCCCGCCTCTCAACTGTCAATCAACTGGTGTACAGGTTCCTGAGCCTATTGGGCTCTATCATATCTACACTTGAAAACTGTGTATGGAGTCAGCCTCCACCACATCACTTCCTAATGCATTCCATTTGTCAACCACTCTGACACAACCACTATGTGTGTGTGTGTGTGTGTGTGTGTGTGTGTGTGTGTGTGTGTGTGTGTGTGTGTGTGTGTGTGTGTGTGTGTGTGTGTGTGTGTGTGTGTTGAACAAAGTGAGGGGGTGTAACCCTGGCACTAGAAATTTCATATGTGCCCTTGGCATTAACTTGCATTTTAGCAACATTTTTATCATTTGTTTTCTTGCGAAACTGAATAAAACCGATTTAATAATCTTAATATAAAATAATTAGTAATTGGGGCCGATATATATTACTCTGATGAACATCCTCATGGATTATAGGTGTGTGTGTGTGTGTGTGTGTGTGTGTGTGTGTGTGTGTGTGTGTGTGTGTGTGTGTGTGTGTGTGTGTGTGTGTGTGTGTGTGTGTGTGTGTGCGCGCGCGTGTTTGATCATTGTCTAATTTAATCTTTAAGTATAAATTAAGACAAGCGAATCATGGCCTCCCATAGATCAGTGGTGTGTACTCTTGTGCCCACAGGAGTCTGCAGGAGAGGAACCAGCATCCATCTTCCATTCCCTACAGCGAATGATCTCTGGTCCTCACTCAGCATCCATCAGCCCAGGCGAACGAAGCGCTTCTTGGTACGTACACCGAATCTTATATAATTCCTCGATAACATTTACTGATTTCATCATTAACGTTTACCACTTTGCATAATTCCTTGCTAACAATTACTGGGTTGTATAATTTCCCATTAACAATTAGTACTTTTAATTACACTGATCATTAACCATAACTGCTGTGCTGGCGATGAGTCACAATAACGTGGCTGAAGAATGTTGACCAGACCACACACTAGAAGGTGAAGGGACGACGACATTTCGGTCCGTCCCTGACTTGAGAATGGTCCAGGACGGACCGAAACGTCGTCGTCCCTTCACCTTCTAGTGTGTGGTCTGGTCAACATAACTGCTGTGTATAATTCCTTGTTATTATTTCCTCGGTAACAATTACACTTTTGTAAGGAAATCAACGGGACGAAAATTCACAATAAACAAAAACAAGAGCTGCATTCTAAACCTTCTACATGAGCTGTATATACCAACCAATCCAACCTCTCAATGCAGCATATTATTTACAGACTTGACCAATCCGTGCAAGAAATAATCTGTGCTTGTAACCCCCTTTGTTAGACACACAGGTTCCTGAAGCAAGCGTCAATCTGAATGCTTTAAAGATTTGTTGCCTGTGATTTCATTTCGAGCGACAAGTTTTAAACGAGCTTTAAACACGTTCGAGCATGTCTAATACACGTCTTAAACATGGTTCAAACATGGTATAAATATGTTTCAAATATTATTGAACATTCTTCAGACATGTTTAATACACGTTTTAACGTTACAAAAAGGTGTTTCATACGTGGTTTGTTTACAAAGTTAGGCGAGTTAGGTTGACTCAGCCGCTGAGTCTGGCATCTATGTTTAGAAGAGGTACATGACGTCATTTGGCGGGAGAACAGTCATCTGTGGTATTATAAGACTCGCCAAAATTATTAGCTCTTAAAATATCCTCTGGAAAATGTGTGTGTGTGTGTGTGTGTGTGTGTGTGTGTGTGTGTGTGTGTGTGTGTATACTCACCTAATTGTACTCACCTAATTGTACTGACCTGTGTGTGTGTGTGTGTGTGTGTGTGTGTGTGTGTGTGTGTGTGTGTGTGTGTGTGTGTGTGTGTGTGTGTGTGTGTGTGTGTGTGTGTGTGTGTGTGTGTGTGTGTGTACTTCCTTTCAATAGTAAGGGAATATATATCCTTTTACAAATGCAGGTATATAATTTAGAGAATGGATTTATATCCTTTGGATAATACGGTCCAAATGATACCAAAATTATTCCAAATGAATATCCGCCTTTGGATAACATGGGAATATTTTTCTCGTAATATTGGTATATTTTTTTCGAAAATACCGGTATATCCTTTTTAACAATGCGTTTATACATTTTCGAAAATGCGGTATATTATTACGGAAATGTTAGTATATCATTTAAAAATGCTGGCATAGTCTTTGAAATATTTGGGTATATATATATATCCAAATATTTATATATATACCCTTTTTGAAAAGACATACTCATCCGTAAACAACCACAATCCTAACTTTAAATAACTACAGCCCTCCCCTTAGTATAAACAAACACAACCTTCAGAACTCTAAAAAACCACAACAACAACAACTACCACCATAATCAACCACAACCTACCACGCTTAACAACTACAACCTCTTCCATCCTAAACTTCCCACAATCCCATATCCAAAACAACCATATCTCTCACCACCCTAAACAACCACAACCCTCCAACACTGAAGAGCTAGAAAACAACTGCAACCTCCACCACCCGAAACTACCACAACTTCTCACCTTACATAACTACAACCTACACCCTCTTATACAACTACAACCACCCACCTTAAGCAACCACAACCTCCATCACTCCGATAAACCATAACCACCACCACCAACAGTATATATATATATATATATATATATATATATATATATATATTGGTAGAGCTCCATTAAGAAACATATAATCTCCTCTCACAACCAGACCATCACCAGAGAAATCTTAACAAACAACACAGAAATCATCGATAGATACAGCGATAGCAGGAGACTCGACATCAGCGAGGCACTACACATCAAAAAAGTCAACACCAGCAATCAACAGCCAATTAACACATAACTATATTCTATCCACTTCAAGACCCCGAACCAACATAGAAGCAGCAAGAGAATATATGGGCCAATAGGCCTTCCGTAGTTACTTTCATTCTTATGTTCTCATATACAATTTATATTCATTGATTCGTGTTCTGACTTTTGTCACCTCACCCAAAACGAATATAAACATGAAATTATAGAAGAAGCAACACAGTTACAGCCCCGCTCCTGTGCCAGGTAAGTCCACTACGGGCTCACCATAGCCCGTGCTACTTGCAACTATTTGTTCATAGTAGCTGAATCTAAAACAATAACAACAACAACAACAGAAGAAGCAAGCATGTGCTATATCATTTAGAAAAGAAGGGAATATCCCTAAGAACCCCCCCCCCCACCACAGCTCTTCCCCTGTTGTGGGTGGGGAAAATACGGAGCAGAGTCTCCCCCACTAGTATATAAAGCCTCGTTCTCTCCCCTAATATGTTGCATTTAAGGAAACCAATCCGTTAAAAAAAAGTAATTATTATTACTATTGATTATCGCAATGTATTATTGATAATCTCTGTGCCTCAGTCTCGATAGGTTAGGTGGGTGGCTTGGGTTCGTACGTTGCTGGTTAAGGTGAAACAGTTGCCATTTATTACGGAGTGGCGGGTCGAGAGCATGTTTTGTTGTGTTGTCATAGACCTGCCTTGCTAAGCCTATGTCACTTAATGTATTTTTAATAAACAGTTTCCTGTCGAGACTGATGATGATAACGTGCAGTTGATGATACACACAGTTGATGATACACACAGATGATGATACATGCAGATGATCTCAGGTGTCGTGACACTCACCAAACAACTACACATTGTTTACAAATTTGCTGGTACACAAGTTGCCAAACACCAGCTGATGGGATGGTCCTGTGTAACACTCCCTGTGTAACTACACGGCTAAACATAACATTTAAATTTGTTTGCCAATTATATTTTCCTATTTTATGTGGATTGATGATTGATGAATGGTTTATGAGACATGAAGGGAGGATGCCATAGAGTTAAGCCATGCATTGAACTAACAGACCGCTTATCTACCTGTCTCTGATATTCCTCTTTATCTGTACCCCACCATTCAAGTATCATACACACCTGTCACCAAGAAAGATAATGAGAATCTTGCTCTTCTCAAAGCTGTCACACTTGAAACAATTACCTCCTCCATCGAGAATTTAAGATCTCACGAGCACTGTGTCTACACCGACGGCTCAGTTCAATTTTCTACTGGACGGACTGCAGCAGCATGTAGGTTTTATAGAAATAATATTTGCACAAAGATTGTCAGTGTCAGGTTAAACAACTGGCTGACCTCCACACAAGCAGAACTAGCAGCATTACACCTAGCTACCAGTACATTATAAAACATAGGAGGAGGAATAATATTTTGTGATTCAAAGTCTGCTCTTCAAACAATCGGAAACTTCTCCTGTAGAAGTAGAACCTCATACTATAAATTATAAATGACCTAATTGCTGCACAGAGTAAAAGGTCTCGAATCTCATTTGTATGGATACCTTCACACATAAATATAACCCATTATAATAAGACAGACATTGCAGCCAAATTAGCGTGCAACAAAGATGAAGTTGAATTAGATCTAGGTATCCCCATCTCTGCTGTCAAAACTGTATTGGTCCAAACACTCAGGTCTAATAGGAAAGAAATTACTGACTCCCAACGACCTGAAAGCACCAGTATAAAAAGCTATGATTTGTTCAGATTTGAAACCTATATCTATGGACAGCACAAAACGTCCACTAGACTGTGTGACACAGTGGTTGCAAGGATCAGGTTGGGTTACCGCTACCTGTGGCAGGTGGCTGCAGGTGACGGATCTCCCAATCCTGAGCACTCCAGGTGCAAACTCTGTGAGCAGGAACTGCGGCACCATATCCCGCACTACATCACCGAATGCCCAGTTATTAAACCTTTCAGACCAGTTGGTATGAGGTACCTGGAGCTTTGCAATTACTTTATTCACTCTCGTATTCTTGAAGATATCCTCACAGTGTACCCAAAATTTGCCAGTGCAGGCTACTAAACATATGGCCCTGTATGACTACCCATCCTGCGAGATGGAGACTTTTATTACCACTGCTACCTTATTCAATCTTGTGTTGATATCTTCAAAATGCATCCGGAGTCTGCCAGTGCAGACTACTGATCACATGCCTCTGTATGACTAACCATCCTGTGTGATGGGGATTTTATAGCATCATGTAGTTAGCTTTTTTGACACACTGTACTCCACTTCATTTAGTCTAGGGTAGCCTAAATGTGTTAATAAAAATAAATAAATAGTTACTATTGTCAGGGACAGGAAGCCTCAAAGTTTAGCTTTTCAAGCGGTTTAGTAACACGTTACATTCGTGTTTTTGGTGACGTGTTGCGTGTGGTTTGGTGGTTGTAGGTTGTCCCGCTACAACCTGCTTGCTGTAGGTTAATTATGGTGGTTGTTGGTTGTTTCGGGTGGTTATTATTGTGCTTTATGGAGTGTGGTCGTTCATCGTGGTGCTCCTTATTTACGGTGGTTGTAGGTTGTCTAGAGTGGTTGTGGTGGTCGTTCAGGGTGGTGGAGGTTGCTTATAGCGATGTAGGTTGTGTATGGTGAGGTAAACAGTTTTTATGGCGTCAACAGGTTGTTTATGGTGAAGTAAAGAGGTTGTTTATGGTTAAGGGGCGTCATCGGCCGGGTTGGTCATGATATCAGTGCCTGGCGGACCTCCAACACCTCTCCTCCTCCTCCTCCTCCTGCTAATAGCTCAGAGTTCCTTTGTTATGCTCGCATATTTCTCCTCTGAGTCCCCCGTTCTCTTTACTAGCTGCCATGATGGTCCAGGGCCCATGGTGGTCCGTGGCCCATGATGGTCCGTGGACGTGA